TGCAATTTGCAGGTTGATCATCATGACTCTGACAACATTTCTCTTCTCCGTTTCAATGCCCTTTGGGAGGCATAGCAGTTGGTGGAGGAGTGGTATCCAAAGTGGCCTAGGATGTTGGTCTGGAATCTACAAATTTTTTTGTCCAGTAATTTGTAAATAAGTCGTGAGTAGGGACTGAGAGCAGCATTTTAGGAGGATTCTAAGACATGACTATTTTTTACACTTGATGTGGTGTTCCATTTGAATACTTGTTCTGATTTGTTTATTTGACAGAGAATTATAATAATTGATTTAGATATTTTTCATAAATGCAGGAAAAGTGGTTGAGATTTTTTTTTTTGATAACATGAGATTTTTTTTTGAATTGGTCAATAATGTCAATTTCTTTAATTATATATTTTTCTTGTTTAGTGTATTGTTAGAATAACTTCAATGGCTGCCTCCACTTTTCTTTAATATGCCAATTCCTTGAAATATGAAGTATTGCCAATTTTTTTAATATGAGTTATGATTGGTGTGCTACAGTGTTACTTTTTGATAATTAGTATTTAGTAATTGTTTTCAAGGAAATATTAAGAGATCAAATAAGTAAATAATAAATCGATTAACAAATCAAGTGATGTGGCCCAATTTTCAAGTTATGATATATAAACCTTTCAACTCTTAGATACTGGCAGTCTAAAGCTGTCACAAAATGTGATAAATAGTGGGGGTCTATGAGTGACAGAAAGTCCAACATATTGTGGAGGTTAGTAAACCTCCAAAAATAATACAAAATTTGTGGGGGTCTTGAACCTCCAGAAAGTGCAACATTTGTGGGGGTCTCGAACCTCCAGAAAATACTCCAACAAATTGTGGCACTGCACAAAAACCCCCCACAAACTATGTTGTGGCGAAGGCGGAACTGGAGGTCGGAGTGAATGCCACAAATGTCTTTTGTGGGGGTCAAAGACCTCCACAATATGAAAATATGACCTCCACAAATCACCTCATTTTTTGTAGTGTCTTGGTTTGGATAGCTAGCTTACAAGGTAAACTTTCGTGTCCTCGGTTTAGCCATGTTGTGGTTCAACCATGTCCCATGGGGGTATGGTTATATGCATGTTGTGTTACATGCTTTGAATATTTGAAATGATGTTGAGTTTTATGTGTAATGGCTTTTAATATGCATGTGTTGTTTCATCTTGACGGTAAGCCTGAGTATGTGGCGTCATACGATATGGTGATCCGGGGTGAATGAAAGTGGCGTCTTGCACTAGTGTGGGTATTTGGCGTATGTAAATCCTGCATTTCTCTGGCCAGTAGAATAGAATTGACACACGTGACATGATTATCTGCTACATTGCACTATTTTAGAACTGATGATGATGAACTGCTTTTGAACTTATATTGCACATGTAAGTGAGCTTGGGGTGGAAGATCCTTGAGGACCCCTTGTCTTACTGAGATTTCTTGTTTAGAGATCTCACCCTACGTTTGGGGAATGCTTATTTCAGGTTCCGGTAGTTTGGTGATCGATGCCTCTGGCGGCAGGAGGCCAGAGCTTAGTTGATGATATTATGTTGTATTGATGCCATGACTGGATATTGATGTTGTTTATGTTTCCACTATTTATGATTATGTTATGGTTGAGACTGATGTTGGGCGTGTTGCCTTATTTGAGTGAGCATGGGGATTGTCCATGACACTTTATGTTTGTACCTTTTAGATTGGAGTTGTATAAACTGTTAGATGGTCTGGTCTACGTTGTTGTAGTTCCGTGACTAGAGCCACACTTTGATTATCTATGTTATGAGGTATTTCAGTTAGCTGTTTTATTGTAATTACATACAAGCGATGTTTTATTAAATGATTAATAAGCAAGTTGGTAATGATAATGACATCATAATTGAAAAGAAAAAGATATTCTGCATTTTTAATTAAGCGCTGCTTAATACGATAGTATGATAACATTACCGGATATATACGGGGTGTTACAGTTACACAAGGAAATCTTAGACGGGTTCTTCAACAACCCGTCCAAGGAAGCAACAAGCATACATGCATGGCCCAATAACCCGGGTAAAATGCTGACGCGGGTTCTTCATGAAAACGCTGACGGGATCATGCACAACTCGTCGGCCAAGTAAATATGCATATATAGTCCGAGATGAGGAATACCGCTTGGGGGCAACCCACAAGTGGGATTAAAACAACTCAAGCGTATTCCTAACTCGGAGTAGCAATATGGTTGATGCTCAACCAGCAAGGCAATACGAGGGAAATGGCGCTGCACATAACGAAGGTCAAGAACTCGAAAGCAACACGTATGCCGACATTAGGAGGCAACCCGACAGTTCGAGATTGTACCCGGCCCAAACAGTGGGGTACGCAAAATATCTCACCGGGTTGATGCTCAACCCGTCGACATAAGGGGGCAAGGGACATCCCGCGAGGAAAAAATTCCCTCATAAGCGGAGCATGCAAGTCTATAAAAACGCAAACACATTTAGGGGTAAAAACCTGGAGAGATGCACTCATAAGTTCATCCCGACTACCCGGATACCCAGGTAGCCGGGCTGAGGGGCAACTGTTATGGACCCGTATAATGGGCCCATTAAGTAGCAACCCCAACAAGGGGCAATCCAAGATATGGATTGATGCTAATAAAGGATAGATATCCATCAAGGATACTAATCCTAATGCGACAGCATAGCTATCAGGCCTGGACTCTCACCATAGGAATCAAAGGCCCATCCACACTACCTACAGGTAACCTCTATAAATACAAAGGTAAACCCTAAAGGTACGTACGCTCTCTCTCTTACTGCTATGTTGTCACTGTGCGCACACACACACCCTATTGGCTAACGTCGTTATAGTATTCTGTGCACAGTGATCTGCTTGACTCAAGGGTATCTCCTAGGGGTGTTCATCAACCGATCCAAACCGATTCAAACCGCGGTGACCGAACCGAAAAATCGATAACCGAATAAACCGAAAACCGAAAAATCAAAAAATCGAAAACCGATTAAAAACTGCAAATTTTAATTGGATTGGATCGGTTTTTGGATGGGTTGATGAAAACCGATCCAATCCAAACCGATCCAATATATTGATTTTCCTCTACCTACTTGGGTCTTTCCCTAATCATAGCCTAAAAATTTCTAAACCCAAGACCCATTAACCCATCAACTAAACCCAAGAAAAAATCTAGTCACATCTCATCAACAAAATTTTATCTTTATAGAGCTTCATATCTCATTGCCAAAAAAAAACTATATTATAGTTTATTAATGTTTTGTATTTAAAAAAAAATACATTTATGAAGCCAATATATACAAAAGATATTATTTGCACAATAATCATGAAATAAATTTTAGGATTTTCCAAAAACCGAAAACCGATCCAATCCAAACCGAAAAAAATTGGATTGGATCGGATCGGATTTGAAAAGAAATCAAAACCGAATGGATGATTATATCATCAAACATAAAGGATTGGATCAGATGATTTTTGCTTCCAAAACCGATCCAATTCAGACCGCGAACACCCCTAGTATCTCCTCCATAGATATCTAGGAGAGGGCACTAGATCCAATATCAACGTACTAGCCTATTGGGCTAGACATCTCTGTCTCAAGGACAGAACACTTTTCAAAATCAGATATTAGTTTTACCTTTATAATACTTGAACTTTCATTCTTAGTATCGCTTATAAGAGTTGTTTGCTAGGTTTTTCCCAAATTTTATTAAAAGATAATGTTGTTTGAATTAATAAAAAAATATAAAAAAAAATTGAATTATGTCGTAAAGATCGATACAGAAGAAATAAACTTGTAGAAAGTGGATTTAAATATAATAAAGTTGATTTTATTTTCTAATTTATTTGATATCAATATACAACAATTAAATAAATAAGATAAGAATTTTAGATTAGGATTTAAAAATTAAATAAAAATAGATTTAAATTTGATAAAATTGGTTTTGTTTTCTAGCCAATCTCAAATAGATTTAAATCCTATCTAAATATCAATTTATAATAAATAAATAAATAAAATAAGAAGAATAGAAATAAGTTTTGAAAATTGGATACAATGTATATTTAAATATGATAAAATTTAATTTATTATGTAGTAAATCTCAAATATTTTTGATGTTTATCTAAATATCTAGCTATACTAATATATAATAAATAAGATATATTTTATTTTGTAATCAATCCATTGATTTGAGTAATTTTATTTATATCATGTTAATTATATTGTATTGTGATTTATGTAATGCAATTTATATATTGTGAGTATTTTTATTCCATTATATAATTTTTTATTTCAATTATAAAATTTTGAAATTCATCTAATTTCCCTGGGGAAAACAAATCCTGAATCTGCGGTTACAAACAATCTAATATTTTAGCATTTTTTATTAGTGCTAGCGAAATAGATTTGATCCTCTAAGCAAACTTTTTAGCGTATCATATTTGGCAAGTAAGTTGGATTATAAACGGAAACCCAATAACTCGACGCAATCAATCCAATATTGCGATAAAATTAATCAACAACCGAAAAATAAAAGTTAAAAGGAATCCGTTGCAGAGAAGGAAAGATTAACATGTTGGATTTATTTTTTATTTTGAAAGGATTAACATATCAGATTTAACTTTTTATTTTAGTTGTCAAAATACGTTAAATAGGATTACCCATGTAACATATTAAATAGTGTGTGCCTCTTTTGCCTGCTCTTTACTCACGTATCTAATTGTTTCACAGTTTTCACTTTTCACACTACCAAATAGCAATTGCAAGAGAATGGCGAGGGATTTAAGTGAAGATTTGGAGTCTGAGATATTGGTGAGGCTACCAACAAAGTCTTTGATGCGATTCAAGTGCGTTCAACGATCATGGAATGAACTCTTTAGAAATCACAGATTCGTGATGAGTCACATGAATATGCACATGTCAAAAGAGCATCTCATGGTGTTTCAATTTGATAGCAACACCCACACATCACTAACATGCCATGACCCATCACAATCACCTCAGTATATCAATTGCTCTTTCCCCGACAACAGCTTCAAATTTGGAAGGTCATACGGTTCTTGCAACGGTGTTTTTTGTCTTGGTTTTGTGGAATCCTAATACAAGAGAGGTCAATCTTATTCCTTTTCCTTCTCACACATTTGATCCCATTCATCAATATTATGGCTTCGGTGTTGATCCCAACACAAATGACTTCAAAGTTGTCAAACTCATCATCAATTTTCCTCATCATGGTTTTATTATTTCATATGCAGAGGTTTATGATTTTAGCACAAATTCATGGACCGTTATCCATGATGTTACTCTCCCCCCTACCAATAATGCTCTATTGCAACTCTATAATGGTTGCAATGTTCTTGTTAATGGTGGGGTTTATCATTGGTTGATTGGCTATGAAGATGATTTTGGTTCCATCCTTTGCTTTGACTTCCGCAACAATCAATTTAGCAAACTCATGGCTCCAGTGAAAATCTCAAAGACAGAAACTTTGTTGGTCAATGATAACATTGTTGAGGTTAATGGTTCCCTTGGTTATATTGTACAACATCTTAGGCAAGCACGGTTGGAGATTTGGGTTATGAATGAACACAAATGGACAAAAACACACAGCATTGTTTTGCCAAAGGAGATTTTAATCCTTGGCGTCTTGAAGGACGGAAATCAACTCCTTGGAAGAAAGGGTAAACAAAGGTTGATAATATATAATTTGATTGCTCAGCCTGTGCACCAATTTCCAGTTCAAGTATGTTTGGATTCTCCAATTGAAAAGTATGTGGAAAGTATAGTTCCCTTGTCTGCTTAGCTTAGCTAGGATATATATACTCCGTTATACATATCATCAAAATTGTTATCATTTAAATACCAGACCATTAGCCGTTTGTATTTATTTCGGGTGATTTTGTGAAAATAAATTGAGTTTATATTGTGTCTGTCTTTCTTGTTTTTGTTTTTCTCTTTTTCTTTATTATCTTTCAGTTATTTTATCTGATATTTGTGTTTGGGTTGGTTTGTGCATATTATGTGAGCTCGAGCGTAGGGGTGTAAATGGGTTGGGCTGGGCTGGGCTTTGGCCATTCTGGCCCAAGCCTACGTCAAAAAAAATTCAGCATATCTGGCCTACTGGCCTATTAAAGGCTTTATTTGTAGGCCAAGTTCGGCCCATTTTCAAAAATAAGAAAGCATGACATGGCCTACAGGCCTTGGGCCTCCCACTATATATACTAAGCAAAAAAAATAATTGTATAGAGCAAAGAAAGTTCCATTCATGCATGCACTAGTACTTCTCATAAGAAAAAAATGACAAACAAGAAAGAGTCAACATAATACCTCAGCTCTAGAATCTATATCATAGAGGAATAGAGTCAAAGAAATACGAAAAATAAGAAAAATACAATTACTGGATGCTGAAATAAAGTCCACAAGAGAATGTCATTCATCTAAAAATCTTTAAACCACCATCAAGACAAGGGAAAGAAGAGTATTATTGAAAGATCTTCATCAGTAACATCATAATCCAGCAAGGTACCCATTGCTCCATGGTATTAAGCTGCAACAGCATGTAAAATTTGGAGACATTAGACAAGTTTTCCTTTCATAAAATAAAATAGCACAAAAAGTAAGAGATATTGGTATTTGGTATTTTGTGTCTTTGCCACATAAAATAAATATTATTTTATTATTTTATTTTAATAAATTAAATAGGCCAGCCTACAAGGCTGTAGGCCGGGCTTGACAAAATTGGCCTATGACCTATTTATTAAAAAGTTTTTTTACAAGCTTAAGCCTACTCTACTTTTCTGAAAGGCCAGGTCTGGGCTGGTCTCAATGTAGGTCGGGCCGTAGGCTGGACTGGGCCAGTCTGGCCCATTTACACCCCTACTCGAGCGGTGGCTAAGTAATAAGTCATTTTTTATTTTCAGGATTATGATAATACTGCCCTACTGCTTGGGTTTTGTGGAAACAAATTCTCTAAAAATTTCTAAGGTATTGAAACGGAACTTAGGGGGGGAAACAATGTGGTTGATATCTTACTATTTAAACATGACTAGCACTTCTAACTGATTTATATTTTTTCTTCACAATGCAACAAATTCAAGAGGAGAAAATCAATGACTTACCAGTTTAGTCAAATTTTGTTTAAGCAAAACCTCCTTAATCACTTTGTTCATGTATGAACAACCACCTCGTCTGCCTTCTTCTTTAACTCCATGATCTTTTGCCTCATCTTCTTTCCTTTCTCTCTCACCATCAATTCATTGACCATCTTTTCCATCTCCTCTCTCTTCACAATGGTATAAACTTCAATCCCAACATCCCATTCAATGCAAATGAGTTTTAACCAGTATTGAATTTCAATCCCAACATCCCGTGGGGATTAGGTATTTTTGAAGAAACACAAAGTGGGGGCAACTATCCCTTTTAACTAAGATGCACCATAAACCCAAATAATTAATTTGTAGAGGTTTGAGTTAGCTTATTTTGTACTAAAAAATTTAGCCACAAACTTTCTTTTAAACATTTTGAAAAAACAAAAGAAAAATATGTTTTTTAGAACAAAATAAGTTAGTTAATTAAACTAAACAAGAATCTTTATTTGTGCTCTTTTATATTAATGAAGCTATAGATAACACTACTTGTCAATGTAGCAAAAGTTTTGCTTTCACTATATATAGAAATACTTGGGTGCTTCTAATCGAAAGAAAAATATTGGCAAATGGGTTATGTAAATACTTATACTTTAACAAAGCAAAGTGACGATTGTCTTGTAACTACTGCTTACATTGAGAAAAAGAAATGAATTTGATTCATAGAATGTAAGAGAACGATAGAAAGTCTGAAACTAAGAAACAACTATATATAAATAGAACATTACAAGTGCATTTACAGAACCCATGATTATTTAGACTCTCAAAGGAGCTCTAACAATCTGAAGACCAATATAAATATTCCTAGAATCCAATTAAAGAATACAAATCAAATGTCAGCCAAGTGCTACAAAATCGAAAACCAAAAACCAAAACCTGTAATCATTTATTGTTGGGGTGTGTTCCTCCTTAATGCTCGGTGGCTGATGACATTTATTGTTGAATAGCTCAATGTCTAAATAATCACCTCATTAAACTTTATTAATGATGAAGATTCTGAAAGAGATGAAGGGATTCTCATATGAAAAAGTGATCATGTGGTCATATTATTTGATCACAATCATTCATTTAAAAATCATTTATTTTTCTCGCTCTTTTTATCTCATCGTCAATGAGTGGTTATGATCAAATAACATAATCATATATCACTTTTTCACATAAGAGGAGATGAGTGTGAGTGTGAGCTGAGAGAATTTGATGGTACATACTCTTAGAGTGTCTAGGGTTAACCTCAGAACAATCAATCGAATATTGATTAATACGTAATCGATCGAACACTAGAGTGACTGGATTCTGGACTAGATGTAGAGCCAGAGTTAGGAGATGATGATAATAGATCTGAAGAAGATGCGGCAGGTGCAGGAGTAGTTTACTGTTGTCACGGCTGATTATTTCCCTTGTATTAGTTGTTCATTTTGTTAGTTTTGCTCGCTGTAGTTGCGCTAGCTTCTTGATTGGATGCGGAAGACATGCTTTGGATCTATTGGATGGATCAGGCCCTGCGAGAGGGCTCTGATACCATATTAGAACCTCATCATCGAAGGAAAATGCAAGAAAGTGATAGAAAGTACGAGAGAAAACTAAGAGAGAGATCTGAGAATACATTTCTCTTAATGAGATTTTGAACTAAAGAATCAATACACTAAGTGAGAAGAGAAGCTCTATATATTGACACTACAAAAAATGTGTTAATTAGCCACATTTAAAAATGTGGCAAACATTGAAAAAAAATGTGGCTAACATAATTTACCACATTTTGATTAAATGTGGCTAGAAGTGGTGTTGCAATAATTTAGCAACATTACTTTATTCACTTTGCCACATTTTGAGTGAGTGTGGTAGCCTTTTTGTAGCCACCTTTATTGTTAATTTAACCACTTTATAAATGTGGTTAAACTGTTTTGTTTGGCACAGTAGAAAAATGTGGCTATTTGTGCCTAAAACGTTTTTTTAACCACATTCATAAATGTGGCTAAATATATGAAATTCTTTTTTAAAATTAAAAATATTATGAATTCGATTAATATTACAATAATAAGGAAAATAATGTTGAAAATAGCTCAAACACGATTTAGTGAACACATCAAAATATGAACCAAACACTAAACATTATATTCTATTATCACTGAAGAATTTGTACAAACCATCATGTTTTAAATTTATATAAGCTAATCAAGCTTTCTATCAATATTATAGTGGAAAAAAATCACCAAATAAAACTAATAAAAAGTTTACTTATGGAACATCTATACAAAAAAGTATCTTCTCAATTTCATAAAAAAATACAGTAGTACAAATTTTCCTTATCATCCATTTAAGACTTGTTCTTGTAATCCATCCTAGTCCTTTGAAATGCCATCTACCATATCACACCTGCACAAATCAATTCCATATTATGTTAATATACTATTAATGAGCTATTATGATAACCAACCTCAAAACACCAATGTACAAAATCCTAAGGTTGCTTAGCTGGTGAACACAATCAAGGTCATTCATGTCCCAATAATCAATCAAGAACTCAGGCAGACGCCAGCCATAAAACAAATAAATCAAGTTTCATTTTTTTATGTTATGTGATATCAATTAATGGGTTCATCAAAAAGAACAATAATTGTTTTTTCATTCTCACACAATTCAAGAGAGCAGCTTTATCTGAATGTTCATACTCTATAAGCTTAGTTCATGTTTCATCTCAAAATCTGTATAAGAAGAAATTAGAAGACCCATATGTTCTTTTATTTATTTTCAAAGAAAGAACCACATAATAGAATAATATAGTACAAAAGGGGGAAGGAAAAATGCCTTGGGAAACAAAGTCTAGAGAAGAAATAAACAAAAAACTAATGAACTCAATGAGTACATATAATATGATCCGTCCATAGTAAGGAGAACAGAAGAGAAGAGAAGAGGGGAGGGTAACAAAATATTTAATAAAAAAAAGAAAGAAATGAGAACTAAATTAAATGAATAGAGTGAAGATATGACAAAACAGTGCTCAGATAATTTACCAACGACTACCCTTGCTTCTTCATGGCTCGTCGTTTAATCAATGAGTGTGTCTGTATAATTCATAAGATCATAAGTCAGCACAAATGACACATACATCACTGCATAATACCCAAAGCTCAAATAAATATTAGCTTGGATAAGAATTGAAAGCCATAAAAAAATTAAATAAGTAATCATGAAACTTTGGTGTTTTGCTCAAAATAATAAAACACGAAGGAGAAGAAGCCACATATATCCTACAAACAGGATGGCCAGATAAATATATGTGGATTTGGCATTTCATCTTGATGAATCCATTCAAACCACGATGAAGACTGTTCACCAAACATGACAAACAAATTCAAATAGAACATGATCGACTTTGGAACTTACCGGGGATCAAAGTCAGAGCTAGAAAAGTTGATGGTGAGATTTTTCATTAACAACAAAACCTGCAGAACACCACCAAATATATGCAAGTCAATTCTCACTCACAAGAAAAACCCAACCTTGTATGGGTTTGCTACATGGATAAATAAATGCCAGTAGGCTCTATTAAAAACCAAATTTATTGGTTCCAATACAAGTTCAGTATAAAAAGCAAAGTTTCCTTGATTAAACACATATTTCAGATGGCTAGGCAAGTAGTGGCTGGTGAGGAGAAAGC